CAAACAGGACAAACAAAAGTGTTTGCGCGTACCGGGTAAGTGCTGTTTTGTATCTTTTTTAATGCGTTGCACATGGTGTGGTATGTAGGCTAACATGTACAGTCTTGGAATTAGATCACAGCCGTTTGGATTTGGGGGCACCACAGTATTTCCTGTACTTGGGTTCTTCCCCTATATTCTGTCTGTCTTGCTTATACCAGGCACGAAATGACGCTTACATTGATTCGATATGTTTCTCTCCACTAATAATAAGTCAAACAAAGATATATACGTGCAATGAGATCTTCTCCCAGCACACTAGCGGACTGAGAGGGAAATCTCATCGGAGCAGAAAGACGAGGATACTTGATTTTGAAAAGTTCGTTGCAGATCCACTATCGATACACTTGGTGCATGTATGGGCTATTATATGGCTCCTTTTCGCGATGATCGACAATTAAAGGTGGTGGTTGGCGAGTGTCATTGAAATGTCTTACTTCTCACCCCCAGATGTTTAAAGGTGTTACTGACTGGTTGTACAAGCTGTATTTCTTTATTCTGTCTCTCGTTTAGATCTATCTATCGGTTTTGTCCCTTTCGTCTGGCACCGATTAGCCGTTAGTTGTTGTCTCGAAGTAGTCGAAGCTGTTCTCTCCTCTACAAACTTAAAAAAGGACGATAGACTGTAACAGTGTGAAGAAAAACAGTAAAAAAAAGGACGATAATCACATCAAACCCCCAATTTATAAAATATCGGCCAAGTTTTGTAGCCACTGTGATGAATGAAAGGAGGGAAGGGGGGATCTCATGGTCTCGAGGTTAAGGTGTTCACCTCTCATTCAAAGGTCCCGGCTCGAATCCGGGTAACAACAGACAAATGTTCTTCTCTAAAATTTTCTCCTTTCTTCACCTCCTTTCCTGTTGTTTAGCAGTGTTCTATCGTCTGCTTTCATTTCCACTTTCTGCCATCACCCTCCTCTGGGCTCCTGTCTATTTCTGCAGCCTTTCTACTGCTACTCCTTGGCTCCTTCTTACTGCTGTCTTTCAGCCCCACCCCTGATCTTCTGGTAGGAAAGATCTACACCTAACCTTCTCGGTAAAGGGCGAAAAATCTCAGAGGAGCTGTGTGCAAGGTGCGCACGTTAAAGATCCCTTGATGGTCTAAAATCGATAAGAGTAGTAGGCTTCGGCCGTCACCTGGGCAAAAATTCAAAATTTCCCACCAACTGAAAATGTTTGGTGTGCCCCACACGCTCATATGACCTAAGGTAGTTGCGAACACACGCACACACACAAAATATTGGGGGGGGGGGGGGGGGGGGTGCGCGCGCAACAACACGTATGCCCTCCCATAAATGAGGAGACACATAATGTTCACAATGTAAAGCCTGGATACCACAGAGAATGCACCTACGTTTGTATTTGGTTAACTAGCACGTGTGGGTGGTTGGCTGGTGCTCTTGTATGGTTTACTCCTTCTTTCCTATCGAACGTCTGTTGTCTTTATCTCCCCTCCTTTTTTGTGTTTGTTACTCCCTTGTAACACCTCTAATCTTCGGCACTTGTATGGCCTTATTGTGTTGCAAGTGCCGTAAAACTACTCTTACTAAAACAAACAAAACATAACTAGCATGTATTTAAAAAACCGTAAAATTGCTACATGTAATTAAAATGATTATCATTTTCCCATACATAACCACCGATGTGGGTTCTTGGCGGGTGCACATGTGTGGTTTGCTCCGGTTTTCCTATCAAACATCTATCGGCCGTATCTGCACCTTCTTTTTAGTGTTTCTTACTTTATTGTAACACCTCCAATCTTCGGTACCTATGACCTAATTGTGTTGCAAGTGCCGTAAACTCTTCATAGGCTTAGACAATACCTCTGATACATTTTACTCATGCAGGCAGACCTTTCATTAGGAAGGCACATGGCTCACGACATGTCGGCACGTGAAGTGCGACAGGTCTTGACCCCCCTCCCCCTCCACATAGTAGATGCAACACGTGACAAGTCGGAACAGCATAGATAGTTGCACCTCCTTTCGTCGTTGTGGATTTTTCTGATGAAGATAGATTTACTTAGATTGCGCTAGCATTGCTAATAAATACAAAGAAGATTTTTTTTTAAAGGGGACCATGAAGTGTCGTGAACAATTTTTTCTCGAGGAGCACAAAAAGAGAGTTTCGAAGAATTGTCTGCTCATTGATGATGCGTAAAGATAACAAATTGCTCTTCACCGGTATCTAAAAATGTGAAGCAAAACTTAGAGGAACTCAAGACACTAGATCTAGATCTAGTGCTTCCGCATCTTGAACCCTTGGGTTGTAACTGGCGGGATCCAATATCTGCAGAAGAAAAAATAGTCATGGCTCTCTTCTTCTGTAGGCCTAGTCACACACACACTTCACAAAAAAGTGAACTAATTGACTTTTCAACGCACGCGGTTTTCGTTACCGCTGTGTCGTGTCGTTCTATACGAGGCGGTACAGGTGGTACTCTACTTTAAATCTTTGTGCCCACATTTGTTTTCACGTGTGAGATGCGTTGCGTGCCACATGCCGTGTGCCTTCCTTTGGAAGGTCGGCCTTAGAAAAGAAGCTCAGGCGTCCGTTATGAGGGGGCTGGGCCTTTCGCTGTCGCAAGCAGGAGACCCGAGTCCGATTCCAGAGTGGGGAGAAAATTTTTATCGAGTATCTCGGTCTTTCTGCAGGCGTCTTGAGCGGTACTTTCACAACGAGGTGGCCTTACATGAGCTAGACAAAACTCGGACATAGATCTGATAAAACTAAAACAGAGAGTTGAAGGATGGGCAGATTATACCAAGTTCAGCTTGCAGACGTTGTCTGGAGACAATCTGGTCAGAATGTCGCATGCAGCATTCTCTGCCAGGACGGCCTATCCCAGACAGGAAATGAGTCATCGCTCTCACCGGGAGAGAAAAGCTCAAAATCTGAAAAGTCAAAAATTGAATCAAATCGCATTTAAGGTTAGATTTGAGCTCAGCGTTCTCGAAAACCACAATGTGCCTAGATTTGCGATTTTCAGCGTATTTGTCTCCCCCCCCCCCTAAATAAACTACAAGTATGGTGGGCACGTGTGTATCGCCATCTTTTTCGCAAAACAGCAATGCTATTCCTAGACAGCGCCATTGTCTCAAATGAGGTCAATCCCAAAAGGCGACGGAATGGCGGGAGCAATATATGGAATGTGTTTTTGAACCATTCAACCGCTCTCAGTTTGCAGATACCAAGTGGATGGAGCTAGTAAATATATTTTCGGCCTGTGCACTCCACAGATTTTCTCCCAAGTGCCAGGTCTGAAGCAGACATCACCTCTCATTTCTCTGCTTGGATGCTCCCAGTGACTCTCAGTGAACAATGACTTGGATTAGACTTTGACGGTTCACTTGAGAACGTAACCTGTCCCAAAACAAAGCTGACACACATGGAAAAAGTTACATGTACGGTACTAGACCCAAAGACGACATTTTTGGAATGTCATTGATACAGGTACTGTACAAATTTTGACTGGGTCATCAAGAAAAAGACACCTTTTGAACCATACTTCATCATATTTTATTTTAAAGTAAGTTATAGGCCAACTAGTGTATCTGCAAATACACTAAAATGAGTGAGAAAATTACAGGAATGGTTGAAAACCAAAAACTAAGATTCATCGAGTATTATTCACATCCTGGTCTTTTCCTTGGATGCGAGATACTCCTTGATTCCAGGAACGTTGGAAATCTTCTCTCGGAAAGCAACCAAATCTGGATACTCTTTGAAGAGGTCTGGATTCAGCTGGGAAACAGTTGTGGTTCCTTCAAAGATGGCGATGTCTGCCAGAGTCAACTGAGAAGACAACAAATTATTTGTTATTCTTGTAACTCTTTCGAGCTGAATCTTACATTACTAAATGTAAAAAATGTTTTCGAAGCTTCTCATTTTGAAAACTGTCAAAAAGAAAATGCAGTGACTATTTCTCCGAACGCTCGGGGAAAATAAACTTGACCTCTATTTCTCCGAATGGTTTCCGTTATCGAGATTTTTGGGTTATTTGCGAGATTTAGGCGTCATCTTTCATTGATTTTATTCTGCCATTCTGCGAGGGCTGGGAAGAAGTATTTTTTGCATCAAATTCAGTTTCTAGAGCTAGACATTTTTTAATGTCTGAATATTCAGATACTTCACTTGCGGTAGGGGCAACATTCCCGGACTATACTTCATTTGTAAATGCATTCAAAAGGTACAGCGAGAAAACAAGACTGTTCCACTTTGGAAGTATTCTACTTTTCATTTAGTCACCCCTAAAGTAAAATCCTTCATGTAAAAAAAAAAATCCATCCAAGCACCACCCCCCCCCCTTCACACCTTATGTATACACAATGCACACACACACACACACACACACACTCTCTCTCTCTCTCTCTCTCTCTCTCTCTCTCTCTCTCTCC